TAACTAAATATATATATATATATATAGATAGATATATTCTTTTTATAACTGCAGTTGAATGGCAGATTCATTTTATGATTTAAGGTTATCATGTTTAGCTCCGAAGCCTTGTATTTTGAAACCAAATCCAGATGACAAAAGAACTCTATTATTAGAACAATTTGAGAAACTAGCCTTCGTGGAGGACTTTCTGAAGGTTCTGACCGGCATTTACGTTACACGGAGAGGAAAATCACGAAACCTCTCAGTATTTGCCCGACTATAAAGGCATTCTAATCATTGATCTGTCTAACCCTGAGGATATTTTAAGTAAGCACTAAGGTGGGTGCAGAATTCGTAATGACCAGCCACCTCTTGGATTCGAACCTAAGTCGCCTCATTAGGAGGCGACTGCATAAGGTGCTAGTTTGGCTACATTAATAAATCCATATATCTGAGTCACTCCCTCCTCCACTTATCTGAAAAAGTGGATTGTTAAATCGAACTCAAAGGCAAGATTTTATTCTTTTGATTTACATACTTCGAAAAAGTACTAATAGACAATATAACACATTCTGTTATTCTTCTATGTTTCATGTTTCATTATTGCGTTAATGCTGATTTAACAATTCATCACATTATTTAAACTACGTTTATGATAGTTAAAAGTACAACTACAATTCGTATTGACAGACTGAAAAGATGTAATTAGGAGAAAAAAGTACTGCAATTAGGAAGGTTAAGGAAAGGTTGCATCTGAAGTTATTGCAACTGTAATTAAATTAGTCACAGAGATTGATTTAGCAATGAATAGAAACTTTTTATTTCCTTAACTGCACTTCTTTTTTGTATCTGTGATCTAAAAATTTGTTATTTTGTGTACTTCTTAAAAAAAAAAATTTATATGCGTTTGACAGGGTTTTGTAACCTTTATCTAAAAACTTAGCATAATTTGGGTTCGTTTTAGATATTTTATTTTAGAAATTGAAATTTCTATTTGCGTTTGACAGGATTTTTGTAATCTTCATTTAAAAATTTTTGTGTTCTTCTATGTAAATACTATTTTAAAAATTGGAATTTTTTTGTGTCGAATAGGGTTTGAGTAACTGAAACAGGATTTAAGTTAAGGATTTATGGATTGGTGGTTTTTATTAAACTTTTGCTGATTTTTAAAAACTTTTTTATAATATCTGAAATTTTTGTGGTTTGTAGAGAATTTTTAAAAGAGATTTTAGATATTTTTTAAGCAAATTTCTGTTTTGTAAGAATCAAATTTTTCAGAATCCGAAAATTTTTTGGTTCGGCTGAATATTTCGATGGCATAGATTTTCTGAAGGGGACACATTCATAAACTATCAAATGTGACAACTTAAATTTTACTCTACCGTAAAAAAGGGGTCATTATAAATTAAGAAATCAATTTTATTTTAATCATTATATTTCTAATGCTCATTAACTATTTTTATAATAAATTTTTATAGCAGACTTTACGCCAAAATAGTCACTCAAAATAGTTACTACCCTCAATATTCACTAAAAATGTCCATTTACTAGTAAAATGTTAACTATGTAATTATGAAAAAATTTTAGAGCAATTTATAATTAAACGTATCTTCTAAGCATTTATGTTCGAATTACGAAGAATATTAGGTTATTTATTATTTTTAACAAGACCAACAACATAACTGGGCCATTCTCCACTGTAAACACTCTAAACCTCAATTTTTATCTTACCTGTACATATTTTTAATTTATTCAATAATAAAGTACATAGGTTAAATCTTAAAAAATGAGATACAATAATAGTTATATTTAAATTTTTATTATGGAATCAATTCTTAAAATTTAGCATTGTACTTTTTAAGTTTTCTTGTTATAATCAACATATTTACATTTATTTCCTTAGCTGAAAAAATATTATAGCATTTCAATTTTCTTCTTTTTTTTCCATATATCTATATAATGCTCTTATTTAAAAATAAATTAAAAATTTAAAAATCATATTAAAATTATGTAAAAAATAAAAATTTATTTGAGCAAAAATTGGTTGTCCCGTGCATAACACAAAAACATGATAATTTTTATTTTTCTCATTTATTTTTAGGGCAAAACAGAAACTGCTTCAATTTTACTTTCTTTCTCTTAGTACTGACTTATATTACAAAGGAAGTTCCTCTAAGTTTAATATTAGATAAAAAATTAGCACTTGTTTTCATGTCCCGTGCATAACTTAGATTTCTCTAAAAATCGGGAAAATCAAAAACTCCAAGAGCATTTATAACTGTAGGTGGCTGAGTAACTTTAACAACTTCCTCATGTTGTAAAACACTTTATCTTCTCGTTTAGGCCATTTCCAATATTTTCCAGGCTTTACCATGGCAGAAACTTCAATATCATTTCCCAGCACTTGCGTAACTTCTCCAGCATATAAACTATTATCATATTTCACAACAACCCAATTTCCTCCAACACTTTTTGTGGTGTTAATTGCCCTGGTATTAAGATTTCTTTTTATTGGTGCTACAGCATTTTTATAAAATTTTAAACCAGAAGGCGAATATGTAATTCCATGCATTTTAGAAATTCCTGGTATTACTCTTGCGTTGGCCCACATATTATTATCTCTGTTTATATCTTTATCTAAAAATAGCATCACTGTAATAGGTGGCATAGCTTTTTTTACAACATTTACAAAATCTTCCGCAGACTGCACAATTGGAACTGTCTTAACTGCCTAAAACTGTCCTAAACTGTTTTAAAGTGTCCAAAACCTTAAACATTGGTAAAAGATAAAAATTCTATATGTGAAACTATTAAACACATAATAATTACATACATTAATAAATATTTTATATTTTTTATACAATTTACTTTAACTTATTAAAGGAAAATAATATAATAGGAAAAGATCAATAACTTTTGAAGCTGCACAATTCATTGAATAACAAAAGTGAGTACCTTATCCTTTAAATATGCTTTTAGTACTGATAAATTATGTTTTTGCATAAGGATAAATAATGCAATATTTAAAGTAATAATAAATTTTTTAACAAAACAAAAACTTGTCTTCATTTTGTTCCTTGTTCAAAAATTAACCTTTTATTTTTCACATTATTTTTTTAAAATTTTAATATAATTTGATCCATAGAGTTTTGGACAGGACAGTTTAAACCGTTGATTAATCCTTTCTTTTTTAAACCTTGCCAACTCTGATGCTTCATTCAGATATGTCACCAAATAATATTTTCTTAATTTAATTTTCTCACCATTCTTCCAAACTGTAACTTCATCTTTCATTCCTGGTACTGTAAAAAAAAATATCTGGACGGAAAAAAATTTATCGTACTAAATTAGGTGACTCTTCATCACTAATAGTATTTTTCTGACTAGCTTGCATGTTTAAGCCAAAATTTGTTGCAATTACAGAAACTACTGTTTTTTTTTTTTTTTTTTTTTTTGGTTGGAGATTTAGGTAAAGATTTTAATGATTTTCTCATTGCTTTTCCGACAGCTTGATAAATCTTGTAGGCATTTTCAATTTGGCTTCTTGATGGTGTATTATTCCTAAACTCTGTTTTCTTTCTTTGGCGATACAGTTGTAATTATCCTTTATAATGATTTATAAAGCTTCTAATTCAGATCACCAAACTAAATTCAAAGTATGAATTAGTGTTGCCACTTCAAAATATACATAATTAAATCAAGTGTATGCTTCCGTGTGTAATAAATTGCAGACATGTCCCGTGCATAACATTAGGTATGTCCCGTGCATAACACAAATAAAATAAATTTAGAATTTTATCAAATAATGTATTTGGAAAACATCCAGCATAATTTAATAGAAGTAATATTTATCAGCTAAGAAAAAAATATAATGACAATATACAAGTTTTAAATTCACAGAGTTTATGAAAAATAGAAGTCAGGGTAGAAATTAATCTTTTTTCTGAGTCCCGTGCATAACGACTATATTAAATCCCTTTTCAAGTATTTAAACTTTAATTTTTTATTTGTTTTCTATGCAGTCTTTAAGAAACAGACTTGTTTTGAATTGAATTGTAAAAAAAAATTAATTACCCCATTATTTTACTATTTTTATAAACTTCAAAGGCCTGCAAATGTCCCGTGCATAACAGGAGAATGGCCCAACTACAGAATAATGTAGGTAGGTTAATTATTTATTTACGTTGCACTAGAGCTGGACAATGGGCTATTGGCGACGGAGTGGGAAAAATCCCTGATGATGTTTCGAAGACATGCTACGACAATTTTAGAGACCAGTTTAATTACTCAATTTAGAAATAAATATAGGTCGCTTAGTTTGAGATATAAATCTCGAGGAGAAATTAGTCTGGAATGAAATTTTCACCAGATCCCTATACCCATGGTACGGCTCAACGACCGAACACAAAACTTTCAATTCCACAGATTTTACGAGCATATATTCGATGGGCCATTTGCTCGAGGATCAAACCCTGACCCCTCCGAACCGGAGTCCGAGTCTCTAACAAATGAACAGGATAAGCCCCAGAATAAGGTAAAAATATATATATTTAGCGGTTATACTTATTTAAATAGCAAAATATTACTATACACAGTAGGGTTTGCAAAGTTCAGTTTGAAACTTTTACATTAACCATAGTTTCTAAGAATTCATGTTCGAATTACAAAGAACATTTTATTATTTATTATTTTCAACAAGTATTACAGCATAGCCACAGAATTAGGTCAATACACAGTTACCTTAAATTACACAATTTTTAAAGCAAATAGTTTTTCACTTTTCTTAAATTACATATTAGCTCACACAAATAGTTAGACACATTTTCTGAATCATACATTGTCTGACGCACATAGTTTTATACTTTTACCGGAAAAACCTCCTTTGGGTAATAGATAAAATTGTGGCTGCAATAATTAATAGATATAAAATAGAATAAAATTTATATAAAATAGAAAAAAAACTTACTTTATTTTTCATTCAATTTTACACGAAACGTAGACAATAAAAAAATTAACAAAAACATTTCAATTTTAAAAATTTGTGTAAGAATTGCCAGTGCAATAAATTATAAAAAAAAATTTAGAAATCTATCTCGATAAAATCTGAATAAAAATTTAAATTTTTTTTTTTTTTAGATTCTTTTTTTACGTCTCTCAAGGACTGTAATGTAATGGGAAAAACATTTAAAGACATATTATATTCTAATAAACAAATTAAAACAAACCAGAAAAGTTTTCTTTAAAATTTTGCATTGTTTTGTAGCTGTAATTTATACTATTTTATATAAATTTACGCAATCATGCATCCTAATGATTATATAAAAAAAGAAATTTAAAAATTCATAAAATTAACAGAACAGCGAAGATCTTTCTCTTGTAGGAAATGTTCAGAACTAAAAATTCAGGTAGCGTTAGTGGTAAATATTAACATAGTTTTCAAGTCACTATTTTTTCCAGTCACTATAACCAGTCGCACAGAAAATTTAAACAAAAAATTCCAATTTTCAGGAGTTAATTACTTTTATTTTGTGTGTTTATTCCCCTCTAGACTATTTTTTTCTTTCTTACTTTCTCATTAGTCAAATTGAGGACTTATAAGTTTACTTATAATTTACCCTGACAACGCAACATCGAGGAACACACCGTAAGCTCAAAATATATTATCGAGTTTTATAAAAACTTGCTATTGTTTATTGTAATTCGATTTTCATTATTACTGATAATAAGAAACATGAGCATAGTTTAATAAAAATGGTAAGCACAATCATTTATGAACTTGCTATTGATTATTCTTATATATTGTTCTAATATCTTGAATATTCCAATATATACTAATATTCTATATATTCTAATATATTGAAAGGTTGCTATAGTTTATTTTAATGCAATTTCCAGTATAATTCATAATAAGAGACAAAAGCATAATTTATAATAAATAAAAAAAAGATAAGCAAAATCATGAATGGATTTAATAAACTACTACTAAACGTCACAATTTCATTTGTATCAGTTCTAAAATCACAGGGGCAAGTGCTAATGAAATTACTGTATATCGCTTGGTTATAGCAAGTTTTGATTTTTTACACACTGTCTATTAAAATAAAAATAACAGACAGTAAGAAGCATAAGCCCTAACTAGTAAAAAATTTTTTTTTTATTCAAATAATTAATTCTCGTGGGAAATAAATTGATTCTAAATTTGTTAATAATATATGATGAACCAACTCGATTATATTTTTAAAATTTTAATGAATCTTATAAATTACTTCTGGATAAAAAAAAAAAAAAAATTCTTGATTTCAATAATAACACCCTAAGACACAAATGAGACACCATTTATTTTAAAGTTCTAATTGCAAGCAAAAATATATTTTGGTAATATCATATTATAAAAAACACTCTAATAGTTAACTAAAAGAAATCCGATAGTTTTTTTCTTTATTATTCAATCATATTCAAAAATTTATCAATCGAAATTTCAGTGTTTAGATTAAAGAAATTTCAATGATGAATAACTGTTCTTCTGATCTAAATAACTGCAAAATTGAAGGGAAAAAAAATAGTTTAAGAGTGAGCTGTGTATGGAACACTTTAACTTAGTTTGTTTTAAATTAATACAAAATAATAAACAAATTCTGAAAAATATGTTTAGTAAGAACTATATGCCGAAGGAATAAAATTTTCTAGAATAATAGGCTTATTTGCAGTTTTCCTTGAAAACACATCAGCGGAAGAATACACCAGAAGTTCAATTTTTATCGTCTGGTGTTAGCTTGCCATTGTTTACTCTAACTAAATTTCCATAATAGTAAGACAATATGAAACAAAAGTACACACTGGTAAAAAAAAAGATAACAGTTATTTTTGATTCGAATAACTATTAAAACTGAGAAATTTACTTGCAATTAGATCTAAAATCACGGATTCGTAGAATGACATAAATCATTTAAGAAATATGAAATATCTTACCGTTTCATTTTCTTCTTTCCTTTGGGTAGCTACGGGAAGTTTGCAGTTGCACTTTTTCATCTTTGAGTAAATCACACACACAAAAAAATGCAATCAATTAATTGAATTGCTTTAAGTAGTTATTGAAAAAAAGGACGCTACTTGAAAAAAATGTGTTTTGACTGTTGTGGTACTACCAGCTGGCAGGTTTGGAAGAGGAAGGGGCGGGGCTTCAGATGGGGTCAGCGAGGGGTTAAGATTGTGGGGCCTACTACCTCCATTCTATGGTGGTTGCTTCTACTGATAAAATGTTAGAAAATGTTACAATAAATAACTTAAATAACGAATTAGTTTTTAATACATTAGCTTTGATTTGTCTTGAAAAAATATGAAGTTCTTAGTTCAATAGCGTTGTAATTAAAATATAAAGGAAAATACAGAAAAAGTAAATTATCATGATAAGAATAATAATAAAAAAAATAAATGTTGACGACACAAATGCTAAGGGGCCGACTGAGGGCTGTGATAGGGACCATTCACTTTATTATTCTATTTATTTTTCGATGCACTTTTCTTTTTCAAAAGGCTTATGTGCAGAACTGAACTGGAACCAGAAAATAGCTGTAGAATTTGAAAAGACCAGTCTAAAGCGGTTCTTGTCACTTCACAGTTTTAAATATATAATATGAAAAAAATTCAATGTATTCTATAGAATTAAAAACTTTAAAAAAAAATTTGAAAAAAAAAGTAAAGCTTTAATGATATTTGCAAGAGACAGGGTGTAAAATATCAAACCTAAAAAATGCAATTTTTTTCTTCAAAAATCGAACCAGAAAATGTCTTTGGAATTTGAAGCGACCAGTCTGAAGCAGCTGTCACTGCAAAATTTTAAATATATAATATGAAAAAAATTCAATGTATTCTATAGAACTGAAAACTTTAAAAAAAAAAATAAATAAAGCTTTAATGATATTTGGAAGAGACAGGGTGTAAATATCAAAACTTAAAAATGCACTTTTTTTCTTCAAAAATCGAACCAGAAAACGGCTCTGCAATTTGAAGAGACCGGTCGAAAGTAGCTCTTGTCACTGCAAAATTTTAAATATACATAACGGAAAAAATATAAGGTATCCTACAAAAATTTGAAAGTTTATTAAAAAGCAATATATCTTTCATAGTTGGCAAGCACGGTGTATAATATCGAAACTGAAAAACGAATTTTAAGGAAGTGACCTGCATATAGCACAAATTGTAATGACAACATTGGTTCGTACCTGCGAGAAATAGACTCTCAAAAAGTCAGAGCAATTTTTTTTTTACAGTTAAAAAATACGAAAAAACATATTTTCTTGTAAATAGAGCTTCAGCAAAAAATATTAAAGGAACGCCGCTGTGTCCTCAGCGTCAAAGGGTTCAAAGAATTACATTCTGTTGAAAATTATTCTATTTGTTCTATAATTATTTAAAAAGAGCCTATTTAGTTTCCATAACAATTGCTTAGTTTTCCAAAAACTGAATAAATAAATAAATAAATAAAACATTCAAGCATTTTTTTTTTAAGTATTTATATTTTTGACGTTTCAGAATTTTATCCCTTGACAAATCTTACTATTGCGTTTAAGTAACTCTTATACAGAGTTACTAAACTTGTTTATATTGTTGTATTTAACTATTAATGATAGACTATTATTCTATTAGAATGCCTTTGAAAAGTGAGTCATGATGGCATGGTTTCATTCGTAATAACTAAAATTTTCCTCATTTAAAAAAAATAAATAAATAAAATTTAAAAAAAAGAAAAGAAAAAAATTTACGCAATGATATAGAAGATTTAATCAATTAATAGATTGTTTAACTCTTTAGTCATTTTATGTCATTTAATGTCAGATCTTGCATTTAATATCTTTAAAAGTTACGATCGGTTAGTGTAAATACCAATCAGATTATTTTTCAAAAATTTTTTAAAAAAAAGTACATTAGTCTTTAGTCGTGGTGGATAAATTTTGATGTAAAGGAAGATTCCCAGAAAAAAAAAGTCACTGAAATTTATTAAAGACTTATGACCAAGAAGTCAGTGTTTCCTAACCTTTTCGAACATTGAAGTCGAGCATCACTGGTTGCGGTCAGTAAGCAGATGGGTGACCACTTTGATGAGCCTGCGTAGGGACAGAGGATGCATGGTATCAGTCCTCGCTAAACTGTTCTGCCGTAAAGTCCTCGAATTCGCACACAGATCATCGGTCTACCAAAGCAGGGGAGCCATCCCCTCTGCAGAGGATGAAAATTGTGAAGTCATGTCTTCGGATCATCCACAGGGATGTTCCTCAGACCGTCGCCAATAGCCCATTGTACAGCTCTAGTGCGACGTAAATAAAGTACCTTACCTACCTACTCTTTTTATCGCCGTGGGCCAGTCTGCGTTTGATAATTTTACCTCGTTCCGCTGAAGAGGGGAGAGATGTTAAGTGTTCATATTTTAAATTGATTCGATTTAATAATTTTAATTTCATTGTATTTAAACAGGTCTTCAAAATAAAATTACATGCTTGGTATTGGTAGGGCTTTAGGAGCATTTCTCAGTAGCTGGTTAACCTCTTGTCCATGGAAAGTCGTACCGTTTGATCCACAGACTTGCACCGGTCCACAAACATGAGGTTTGAGAACACTGTCTTAAGTGACCCCAGAACCTAGTGTCTTAATTGTAAACAGCGTGAACACAGAAGTTGTACTAAAAATCGATAGATTCTTTACTCTGTAGAAATATTTCCGAGCTAATACCAACTTTGAAAAGTTTCATAGGCATTGATTCTAATAAAACACTCCAAAAATCTTAAAATTCGGCTTTAAATACCCTTAAAATGAGACTATAAACATATTTTTTTGATAATTATTTTACAGCTTTAGCGTCAAGGCAGTTTTCTTAACGGTTTGTTGTTGCACGAGATAACGCTTTTTGTGAATATGATATTTTAATAATTGCCTTGAGTGAATTAGCTATTTTAATAACTGCTGTGCAGCAGTTATTCAAGACTTATAGGTCAAGTTTAGCCTGCCTTTAGTCAGTGCTCTCTTAGTTGATTTAAGAAATTGCGGCTAATGTCAGTGCAAGGAAAAATTATTAAAGTAAAAAAGAGTCAATGATCAAACTACTACGCTGGATTTTTACGGCTCATAAAAGTATGCAAAGATTGTAAAATTATTCATGCATTTTGATAATTTTCTTAATTCCCTTTTCTCATACTTTCAACTTTAACAATGCCAATTAAGATAAAAGAGAATTTGCCATAAAAAGGTTCTTCCGTGGTATAGCATCTTCCCACGTGCCTTACACTTTAGGCAAATATATAATTCTAAATGATATAATATACAATCTTGCTATCAAGAATTATCAAATGAAATAATTTCGAAAACATTTCTCCAGATAATACGAAATTTCCTTCCTTGGCGATGGAGTTTCGAAAACATGCAACTCAGTTTCATTGCATGGATTTTGAGCCACCAACTTAAGCTGAAAAAAATGTCAAATTCGATAAATTCAGATTAAGAACTTTCCATCATTGATAAGGCTTTACAAAATTAAGATAAATTTTTCGACACTTAAAATTTGTTTTCAGATTTAAACTTTGTTTTGCCAATCTTAATTAAAATACAAGCTTTTCACTCAAAATATTTTTATTATAAATTTACATGCTCTTTCTGTTAACAAATAAAGATAAATAATTCATTGTAACAGATAAATGAATTAAAATCCTCATTAGAAAACTAAATTTACACAAGTCACGATGAGTTACTTATTTGGTTGTAAATACAAGTGACAAAAATACAGAAGGTAATTGAAAAAAATAATTTCCTCTAAAAGTAATTTTTATGTAGCTTTTATATAAGTTTTCGTAAAGCCATCTGTGGAAAAAAAAAATTTACATTAAAAGTAATTTAAAATCAACTCTCAATTAAAAATTAGAGAAATTTATTTGAGAGTAAACTGATAAAATAAAGTTTAAGAGTTGAAATATTTACTTCCTTGGATTACTTCTGGAAAGTATGAATTCCTAACAAAATAGAATTCGATCTTGTTTTAAGCCTTTAAAATGTAACGCATAATTAGTTTCGATTTAAGCATTATTAAAAGTCAACTGATTTACAATTGTCAAATATCTGTATATTCAGATTTTATTTTTTAAGGAACTAACAAAAATAAAAGGTATAAGTTTAAATATATTTTGTATATAAAATACAAATTGCTACTTAATTACGTACAAATGAAATTTGAATTGTTAAAATCCCGCCTTAAAGTTTTAAATAAAATAAAAAGAGGCAGAATTAAAATATTGATATACATCGTGGATAGTAAAAAGTAAAACAAAACAGAGTACAGCAATTAAAATTTTTATTTTAGCATCTCTTGAAAGTTAAAATTGTTACAGATCTCCTTGAAGTATTTCCCTTTAGTTTTAAAACAAAAAGCTAAAAGTCAAATATTATACATACACCATAAAAATAAAAATTAAAACTTTCAAATTCCAAATGTGATTTTTTTTAATCTAAAAGCCTTCTTGAAGGCACCAATTACTAAAAATACGTATCAATGAAATCTGAATGAAAGTATCTTCTGAAAGTAAATTCAAAAACTCTTTAAAATGATTAAACGATTAAAAATTTTCATAAATACTCTAACTGCTAAACTAAAGACGCACATTACCTATTTTTTGAAAAGGTGCATGAACATAAAGGCATAAATAAAAAAAAGAATCCTTTAATATTTTATGAAAGAGTATAAGTTGCCAATAAACATACGATTAAAACCTTTGAATCATTGGTATATCTCGTCAATTTTTTTCAATTACTTTCTCCAGAGTTTGTTCCGTAAACTTAACTTCAGTGACAATAAGCGATGAAGGATTAAGTTATTTCTCAGATTATCTAAATAAAATTAAAGATTGCATTTGAAATTTCCAAAAAAAGTAAAAATAAAACAAGACTAAAGCCAAATCGACGCTATATCTCGTGAACTTTCTCCATTCCGCCAGTGTTTGGTCTATAAACTTCAGCTTCAGTGACAATTTGTGATGAAGGATTTGATTCTTCCTCGGGTGTTCTTGTTGGATGGAGACTTCTGTGCGTCACTTGCAAATTGCCTTCAACTTCACTACTTTCCACATTCCTAATGAAAGAAGTCTCCGCAACATCAGAATGTGACCCTGGCTTGGCACCTAATCTTTCATTATGCAGACGAATCTTCTTCAATGTATCGGATTCTGAACTAGGAGTGGCAGCAGGAGATGATGGAAGCCAATGTGGATATGGATAATTCCTAAGCGCCTCAGTCCAAAATAAAGTAGATCTTTGGACGGGTTCAATAACCTGGTCCATTGGTACAGTTTCAGAAGCTTCTATATCAATTCTCGATCTATCTGCAGATTGCCTTTCTTTTGCCTCGGCTAATGCTCTTTTAACTGGTATGAAAAACATGTGGGTGGCCTGAAAAAAAATATTGAATGTAAATTTATTTAAAGGTTGTACTTTTAAAGCTCTTGCGTCTAATAAAAACCAGTCTTAAAGTCTGGTTTCTTAGGGCAGATCGGCGTTACAAAATGTCAGCTTGGAGCGAGCTCTAACTTCTGAATGGTTAATTTGTGAGTTAGACAGCATACGTCATCGAACGCTCAGCTTGAACGACGACTGACGTCCGAATCAACTGCAGTTGGATTACAACGTAACGTTAACGACAGAAGCAATGGTTGACAATATCCAACAGAGCAGTGAAATCAGCCAATATTTTGATTTTAACATAGCTTCTTCCTCTTCTTTTTCATTTAGCTAAGCTATAATATGTTTTTTCTTGGACAAAGTCATTATTTGTTCTCTAAAACACTGGTCGACAATAACAAAATCAATACAAATTCAAAATAAATATTTGTTTACGTTATTAACGCATACGCAATGCGAGATAATATCTGAGTTGGACCGACTGCTCAGCCGAGCTAACAAAACAGTATTTTGTTGGCGTCAGCGGTACGTCAACTTCCCGCTGACGTCCAGAGATCGCGCATGTCTTAAGAAATAAGGCTTTTAGACAGCATGCGTTATCGAACGCTCATTTTTTTTTCTTTTAAGTTACTTGAAATTTATTACCATACCAACACAGGTGCTTTGCAAGCAAGTAAAATCGTAACCAAAACAATTAGCATTGTCTTTACATAATTTTTAAAAAAAAGGAAACCTTATTTCTCATTAAGTTATAAAAAATCTCTTTTGAACTATCTTTAATTTTTATTTGTTCCGTGTTTCCTGCGAGCTCTTCTTTCGTTTTACATATATAAAAAGAAAAAAAATCTGAGATTGAAAATAATTTGCAGTTGGTCTGAAAATCTGCTGAATCCGCTGCCATACTGGAGGGTTTCTACAACCAGAGTAATGGGCAAAAGTTCAAAATTCGCTACATACTACTACTTATTCGCTACTCTAAAAATAAAAATTTCGCATTAATTCGATATATAGGAATTAGCGATAAAACAAGATAGCTCGAAATTAAAAAACACACTTAAATTTCAAATTCATACAGACAATTTTTCACTACGCACAATAACGCTTTGCTGATACGCCGTACAATTGCTTAAATGGAAGGCCTATGTCATTAATAATTTACATTCTTTAAGAGTTTACTGCCATCTACATTCAAAATTACGAATTAAAATTTTTTTACTGGTGTAGATTTGATGATCCTATCTGAGTTACTTATCTTACTTTAATGCTACTAGTTAGATAGACTCAACTCATACCTAGGAAAACTAGAGGGGCCACTTTGGTTCTTCCCAGATTGTATGTTTATAAATTTGGCATCCATAAATTTTAAAAATTCGTAACTAATTTAATAAAAACATATTATATCAGCGAAATTCTATGTTATTTTGTTATATTCGGTTGACAAAAATATTTGATTAAACTGACTTTACAATTATACGGTAGTTTCTTAGATATCTTAGTTTCTTTTTCTCTATAAATAATTATAGCTATTCTTAAAAACTTAAATAAAACCGGGGTATCCTTATACTTATCAAAGTGTACCTTATATCCAAACCAAACTGGGGTTATTGGATGCCTACCAAAATACCTAAAGGGGCTCTCTCGCCCTTAAATGAACGCTTAAACTGGATGAATTTATGAAAAGTTAGAAATAGGCAACACTTTTAGTATGTTATTTTTTAAATTACAGAGCAAGAGGGATCAAATTTGTCCCCTCCGTCTTTTTAGTGTTTAATTCAAACTTAAAATCGTTGATTTTACCGTCAGTCTTATCACTTCTGGGAATTTTGAAAATTTCGAATTTTTCACTTTGATTCGCACAACTTCAAATAATTCAAGATTAAAGTTAATTATTTTACAGCTTGCTTTTAAAAGAAATATAGAACAGCGAAAAAGAGACAAAATTTATTATTCATTTCAGATAATACTTACAGCAAGTAGAGCAACAAAGGAGTAAATACCAGCTACTACTCTGAGATAAGTATACTCGTATACGACAGCGCTAGTTATCAAGAAGAAAGGAAGTACTATAAAAGATATTACGTCAGAGGATATCGCATACCAGCTAGCCTTTTTAATCTAGAAATTGAAGGATAAAACACTTTTGTAATGCATGCATTTACAGTTTTCAATTCAGACATAATTTTAAAAAACATCAAGTATCAAAAGTATAATGCACGAAAAAGTATAAAACACAAAAAATTCACAATTTCTTTGTAAAATAAAATCGAGAATTCAGAATACTTCATGCAGAAAACTATGCAGAAGCAAACTGTGTAGATGGAATCATATGGAAAATATAGTAAATTCTCATATAGTAAATTCTCGTCAGCAAGCATTTCGAGCAGTGTAAATTCTCGTCAGCAAGCATTTCGAGCCGTGTAAATTCTCGTCAGCAAGCATTTTCAGCTATGTATGCAATACTAGCTGAAAATGCAAAAATTCAGCTAATAATACTTTAAAAAAATATGCAAATAAAAATTGTGTTTTATACTGTATTTTTCTTTTAATTTTTCAATTTTTTATTTTTGTTACAAACGCTGTATTTTATATTTTTCGCTTAAATCTAAGCTAGCGAAGTGATTTAAAGAAAAAACAAACAGTTCCATAAGTCGACAAGTTCGAAGAGATGATGTTGAACGCTTAGTATTATATAATACATTGAAACATACTATATTTTCCATTTAGGAAAATTTTATGCAATGTTTGATAATGATGAAGTTTATATACATACCTGCCAACATTTAATCACTTTCATTATGATTTTTCCCAGTGGTATTAAATGGAATTAAAATTTCAATTTTTAGCAAAAAAAAATAATTTGTATTTGAAAAAGCTTAAGCTCACAACCATGATAGTAACGCATATTAATATATATTCTTAATTTTTTTAAGAATAGTGGTGATCAAAATCATTTAAAAATTGGGTTTATAAAAGAAAAAAATAGTACATTTTTACTACCACTTTAAATATAAAAATAAAATTTTACGCCAAATGCGTAAAAGTTTGCAGGTATGTATATACATATTTTAATAATACTTTCCAAAGGCACATGAGGACTTAGCAAACTAATATGTAAGTGAGGTTTTTTTCCCAAATGTAATACGTAAGTGAGGAGTTTGTTTTCAAACTATCACGCGTAAATAGACTTTAAATTTAATAATAATGATGACTTATAAAAGTTTATAATCGGTGATGAACGCAGATTATAAAATAGCCTACCAGCTTCAGTCAGCAAACAAACTGGGTTTTTGATTAATCTAATCAGAATGATCGGCTTAAATGCTGATTCAATTTGTCAGCGTTCTCATTTAATAACATTATAACGCTTAATGTTAACTCGGGTCTTTACATTAGACTAGGAATTTAAAAAAAAGTCTATTAAAGGTATTTACCACGAGCACTGCTTAAATTTGTGAAAATATATTTATTAATTTAGCAAACAACGGATACGCCTTAAGTGACCCTTATGCTTATAGCAAATAAGAAATTTAAGAACGACTTTGTCACACGCTTAAATTCAAATCGAAATAAAGTTTCCGAATTATTTTTATCAATCAAATGTGAAAATATTTATGAAGTTCTTTATAAATATTTTCAATTAGTTTAAGTCTTTAACATAAGATCTAATATTTTCGAACAAATTTAAACTCATAAAACATGTATTACATTATTCTGCAATGAAGTGCAATTATGCGTAAAGTAAAATTAAAATAAATTTCTCTATAAACTTATCGTTTATTAAATTATGGGAAATAAAATAATTATTGGTGAAAGGAGAAAACTAAGTTGCACTCATATATGAATTAATTTTGATTTAGAAGTCATTCAAAAAAAGTTTGAAGCAAAATGTTTCTCAAACTTTTTTTTGTCAAATTGTTTCTTGGTGTCGTAGCTACGCAAGACATTCCAAATTTTCAGTAGGTAATAATGCACTGAAATATTTAATTGCTTTTATGCAAGCACAATTTATTTTTTTAACCAAAAATAGCTGTTGAAGAATGAAAATATAGATATAATTACATATGGATTATTATATTATAATTATTATAACTTTAATTATAACATAATATAGATTATTATATCATAATTAAAGAGCCTGTACTCTCTTTAATTAAAATAATTTAAAGACATTTTAACTTTTAATTGGATCGCTCCGCCTTTACGAGCTTCTGAAGTTCGCTCCGAATTCCTTCAAATTTCAGTTTCGAATTGTTTGACTCTTGACTTTTTTTACTAAACCAGTTCGTAGTTTTTACGTAACGTCATTATTCTTTATTTATTAATCAAATTTTCAAATAATTCTATCATAAAAAGAAACTGAAATAAAAACATAATTCACGATTTTTAGAAACTTCGGAAACCTTATTGAATTTCGTTTGATCGTACTATGTACCAATCAAATTCTTAATTTCTAAATGCATATTTCATATCCATTTTTATTTTGATTAAAAACTTTCAATGAAAAATACTGTCGATGCAGCGTTGGAAAGTATTTTGTACTAAAATGAAAAAGATGGTTTTAAAAAAAAATAATTTAACACAAATCAAATAGTAACGAAAACCGAAAGCCGATACCTTCAATTTTCTTGAAGATTAAAACCGATTAAACTTTTTATCTGTTAGCGCACTATTTTCATATAACTCAGTTTAATAAAATAACAAGTCTTGTTAAACGAAAATTGATCAAAAATGGCAATGAAGGAAAACATGAAATTTAATATTTTGATATCACCTGATTCTATGTAACTTAAATTTTACTTTGCTTTTATAAGTATCGGATTTATATGTAACTCTGGGTCAAGAAAATATCTCGTACCATTTTAAGTGGCTTGTAAAGTAAAAATAACTAGCTACAATTTAATATTTTTAGAAGAAATCAAAATTTTACGCACAATTTTATTCTGCTTTTAATTTCAAGTAGAATTATAAATTACCGCTGTACTGCCGTGTTAACTTGATGCAAAATGTAGTTTTGCAACTGACTAGTGTAGTTAGTGTGAGATTTTATGAGGATATTTTATGAATTATTTAAATACACATGATCATTTAAAATAAATTTCCTCCTATTTTAAAACTGTTTCACCACTATTTCTTTTTAAAAAAATTTCAAGTAGCTTTTTGTGAAACTTCAAATTCTGGCTCAATTTAAGAACCGGTATTAACGGTATTTTGCGCACATAAAAATAAAGTTAGAATCCAATAGCAAAGTTGTTGTTTGGAGTTACTCAGTTAAAGTTTCCATCTTTTGAAAATTAGACTTTAAAGCAATTAAAATTTTGCTTACTTTTATATGAATAATTTAAATTAACTGCGTAACTAAATGCTTGGATAAATCACGGACGTGAATTGCCGAAAAAATATTATGCCTCAAAGAATTTGAACTTGTGATTTAAAACCAGATTTTTACATCAGGTTATCTATATAGAAAATCTGAATTATCTTTCTCTGTAAAGACTATGTTTAAAGGTAACTGTATATCCAGGTAACTGTAACTAGGTTTATCAGAATAGCACTTAAAAATCAAATTGGTTATATTCAGGAAGGAATAGCATGTATACAAATTTGATTTTATTCATAATATTTTATGCATCAGCAACACCAATTGACTAAATTACAAACAGATTAAAAAAAAACAGTTATAATAGTGTTGAGATATTATTCAAACACGATAACTAGAAAAAAGAAAAACTACATTTTTGTAAATTTTTTAATTTTTACTTACATTATGCATCACAATACGACGCAAAAGACGACAACACCTGGGTAATTGACAGCAGCTCGTCATTGTTTTGAATGCAAGGTACACTGAGAATTATGGCGATAAAAAGAGATGATAAAGTATGAAGAGCCAGTAATTGCGACTAATTATATTGAAAAGAAGATTTCTGGTTACTTATTTCTCACTTGCAATCTAGTCGATTCAGATTACGATTCCGAATTTTGACCCCAAAAAGTTAGCAATCCAAAGCTACTAATTACTTTTCCTGGGTTGCGAAGAAGGAGGGCAGTAGGTCAGGGGTTCGTATCCCTCTATGAATAAAGCGCTTTCAAGATTAATGCGTGAAATGTACACATTTTAGAATTGCCTTTCGTTTTAATTGCCTTTCATACTCATTTTTTTTTTAAATTTCTTAAAAGGCTTTTTTCCCACGACCGTCAGTGTATATAACAGTGCCCGATTGATCAGTGAAGTCATGCATCACTGGCTTGTTGTTGTTGTTAATGTTCATTTACGTCGCACTAGAGCTGCACAATGGGCTATTGGCGACGGTCGGTGAAACATCCCTGAGGATGATCCGAAGACATGCCATCACAATTTTGATCCTCTGCAGAGGTGATGGCACCCCCGCTTCGGTAGCCCGACGACCTGCACCCGAAGTCGAGCACTTTACGGTAGAACAGTTTAACGAGGAGCAATACCGCACACCCTGGTCCCTACGCAGGATGATCCAAGTGGTCACCCACCCGCACACTGACCGCAGCCAGTGATGCTTGACTTCGGTGATCTGCTGGGAACCGTGTCTTAACGATCAGTCCACTGCGGGACATGCATCACTGGCAGAAGTTAGTGAGCGGAAAGGAGATCACTTTGATCAGCCGGACAAGGAACCGAGGATTAGCGGTATCGCTTTTCATTTAAATATTTTACCGTAAAGTGTTTGAGTTCGCGTACAAATCCTTACCATAGCGGAAGATCTTTTCCCTTGGCAGGTCCCGCAGTGGACTGATCGTTAAGACACGGTTCCCAGATGATCACCGAAGTCAATCATCACTGACCGCGGTCAGTTTGCAGGTGGGTGACCACTTGGATCAGTCTGCATTGGGACCGAAGGAGTGCGGTATCGGTCCTCGCTAAACTGTTCTACCGTAAAGTGCTCGGCCTCGCGTGCAGGTTGTGAGGCTACCGAAGCGGGGATGCCATCCCCTTCGCAGAGGATCAAAACTGTGATTGCATCTCTTCGGATCATTCTCAGGGATGTTTCCCAGACCATCGCCAATAGGCCATTGTGCAACTCTAGTGCGACGTAAATGAACCACAACAACAACAACAATTCTCTTGGCAGAGGATCAAAATTGGGATGGCTTGTCTTTAAATCATCCTCTGGATGTTTCTCAATCTGTCTCCAATGGCCCATTGTGCAGCTCTAATGCAACTTGAATAAAGTACTACTACTACTATCCAACCATCAATGGGGTGGAGGAGGTAGTATTTGTTTATTTACGTTTCTCTAAATCTGCACAATAGGATATTCATGACGCTATGGGGTACATCCCTGAGGATAATCCAAAACCCACCATCTGAATTTAAATACTCTAGTCCAGCAGCAGACTGACTGATCGTAAAGACATGGTTCCCAGTCGAACACTGAAGTCGAACATTACTGGCCGCGGTCAGTAAGTGAGTGAGTGAGCACTTTGATCGGCCTTCATAGGGTAGCGCTGTATCGGTCCTCGTTAAACTGTTCTACCGTAAAGTGCTCAACTTCGCACATATTTCGTCGGACTTCCAAATCAGAGGAGCCATATCCCCTCAGTAGAGAATCAAAACTGCGATGGCATGTCTTCGGATCATCCTCAAGGATGTTTCCCAGACTGTCGCCAATAGCCCATTCTGCTGTTCCAGTGAGACGTAAATAAAGTACCAACCTACCTCACTCACTCGCTCACTGATGTACCAGTGATGTTTGACATCGGTGAGTAATTAGGAACTGTGTCTTACTATCAGTTCACTGCGGTACGAATGAGATTATGATTTCGTACTTTGATTTTAAAGAAGTCACAAATTCACGGCCCAAAGTCACCGAACACCTTTTACTGGGTTGAGGTGGAGCAGGTCATAAGTTCCTATCCCACTACGACTGAAAAATTTTCAGCGTTCACCCTTTCAGGTAAATAAAAAATGTCTGACGTATTTTCGACAACCATACAAACTATTAAAATTATAGAAGTTTTCATCTTTTAAACAAGATTTCGTGAACAAGAAGAGATTTTATCAGTGACTCAAATGTTTCAAATTAAAAATAAAGCAGATTGCTGAAATTCGTACGCACATAAGATGACAACAACTCTTGTGTGTGATTGTGATAAAAAATGTGATTAAATTTGTCTTGGTCCACAAAAAGATAGCAAGTTGAACTAGTGCTTGATGTCAACTGAGAAATTCACACATCCAGTTGAGACTTTATAAAGACTCTTTATTTCCGACGTAATTCAACTGTCAATAGGGAGGAACTGAGAAATTTTTTTCCTTATTTATTTATGGTAACACTTACTTGTTGTTGTTGTTGTAGTTCATTTACGTCGCACTAGAGCTGCACAATGGGCTATTGGCGACGGTCTGGGAAACATCCCAAAACTGAAAAATCTAGAGGCAATACTTTCATATGCAGGCTTGTGTATTCATTACAAAGTATGTCTCATAAGCCCTTGTTAAGTTCGAGAACTCTTATTGCACAAATTAGAAAATAAGATATATATATGTTACGGTGAATGACCGAAATCTGGAGAATGTCGATTCTCACCAGTGAATGTCAACAATCACATAGTCGCTTTGGTGAATGTCCGAAATATTTGTTATATCTAATTTTATATTAATTTATTCGTTAATATTAATATATTTATTTGATATATTTATATTTATTCCATATTTTAATACTTACTGACGATAGATTAGAAGAAACATCAGTGTTTGGAGTATCGGGCAAATATATACCGGGCAGTGGCACTTAACCTTAAAAAAACATCAGTGTAGGGTTAAAATATCGAATAAATGTAATTATATCCACGAATAAATTCATATCAAATCGAATGTAATAAATATTTCGGACATTCACCAAAGCATATCTGTGATTGTCAACATACACCGGTTACGGTCCGAATGTACAAGAATGTAATGAAATATTCGATCCTTCACTGACGTATTTGGTGTTTGTCGACATTCACCGGTGAAAGTCAACGACCACCGATTTCGGTCTTTCGCCGTGACATATATATATGCATATTCATGCGAGTTTTGAAGGAAGGGAATCGAACCTTCTACCTACAGAGTGTTTGGCAAAACAGCGAGCCGCTCGGCTAGGGAAAAACCTTGCAACCCCTTATCTTGAGTTACTTTTAACTGGTTTGAATTTTTAAGGGAATATCAGACGTGATTAAAACGTTCTTAATATAATGCGGTTAATGTTAAGGGGCCTTTACCCTCTCCAGCTTTCCAATACTAGTTCCATAGTCCATAATCCCAATAGTTTAGTCAGAAGAGCGTTTTAAAGTTATTATTTTTAGTTATTTACTTATTATTTTTTATTATTTTATTTAAGAATGGACAAAAAAGATTGTAATTGTAAGGTACATAATTTTCGGCATCATTTTAAAGGATGTAATTTAATATGGAAAAATACAAAATTTGAGCCTAGTCAGTCGCGAATAGTTCCTGAGAAATTGAGTTTAAATATTGAATTAAATGAGTTTTGAAATTAAATTTCTCAGGTACTATTCGACCGATTTCGCTCGAATTTGCATTTTGCTACATACAATTACATTCTTTAAAATGATTAAAAAATTGTTAACCTTACAATTCTAAATTTTTCATTCATTCTTAAATTAAATAAAAAAAACTAATAATTACTAGAAGTTATTTTTTGAAATTTATCTTTGAATAAACGAAGTTCATAATTGTGCATAAAAATTTTCAGTTAACTTAGAATGTACTCGAGATATGGCACGAAATTTAGTTAACATTTAGGGTCCAAACTTTGAAGTTCTCTCCTAACCAAACTATGGGGACCATATTTTCCTGATCACGACTACCCCCTATATTTTGGGGGTCAGAAATCTGAATACGTCTGAAAAAAAAAGGTATGTTTGTTTAGAAATAGAACGTTTTTGTGCCTAATTTCGTCAGCACTTATTAATTAGCATATTTGAGGTCACCCTTTTGAGTCACTAAAATTGAGTCCTAGAACGCGATGATCCAATCATTATTTTCAATGTTTGTCAGGGTGGTCCGTTTTTTTTTTGTCACACTGCACAATTTTTTATATTTATTATTTTGTTTACTTTGGTAAAAAATTAAAATATCCACAATTACATTTAAAAAGAATTTTGATTTTAATTTTAATTCTGAAATCTGAAAATCCAAATTTCACAAAGAAAAGAAAACTACAATTGTTACTATTTAAAAAAATATTTAAGACTGAAAACCTTATTTATAATATATAATGCATTTTTGAAAAAGAGTATTTTAAATTACGAATTATTTCAAAAAATGACTTTCCCATAAAAATTTTAACTAATTTTAAATAACTTTTAGAATAAAAAAATATCAAATTTGAAAAATGCATCCTCATATAAAATCTCTGTCAGAAATAAAATAACAAAAATTTGAATTGATGGATTTTATTTTATTACTCAAACTTTTCTCTAAATCTATGAACATCCATATTCGAATTCACAACCCCGCTTTCGAAGAAATTTTTTAGGTGTCATTCAAATATTACGTGAGAATGTTTAGTTAATTTTTGGTCCTCCCCTCCCACATTAGTAAAAATAAGTAGACCATAAGCACCTTTTAGGTTCTTACAGTTTGTCTAAGCTAAGAACTCCTTCAGACACAAAGTCTGAGGCAGTCTGGTACTATGGAAACAAGAACGGCGCATTTTAGGGAGGGTAGATTTACTCTAGGACTGAACACAGTAGACTGAAGAAAGAGATTTCCTTTCTCTCGCCGACCCGACCCGAAACCACTCCAAAACAGTGACCTCACATCCCTACTTGAAATAGTCATACCTCGTTACCATAGCAACCGCCACAGGTCCAGACGAATGTCTCGGGCGTTCTTATGTTACACAAACTATACGAAATATTTTGTTGATATTTAAGTTGGTACAGATACTT